TGAAGTCCATTTGGTCCAGTGTGTCATTTAAAGCCTTTATTTCCTTGTTGATCTTTTGCTTAGATGATCTGTCCATTTCAGTGAGGGGGGTGTTAAATTCCCCTACTATTATTGTATTGTTTTTGGTGTGTTTCTTTGATTTTGTTATTAATTGGCTTATATAATTGGCTGCTCCCATGTTAGGGGCATAGATATTTACAATTGTTAGATCTGCTTTAAGTATGATGTAGTGTCCTTCCTCATCTCTTATTGTAGTCTTTGGTTTAAAATCTAATTTGTCTGATATAAGGATTGCCACCCCAGCTTTCTTTTGATGTCCATTAGCATGGTAAATTGTTTTCCACCCCCTCACTTTCAATCTGGAGGTGTCTTTGGGTCTAGAATGAGTCTCTTGCAGACAGCATATCAATGGGTCTTATTTTTTTATCCAATCTGATACCCTGTGTCTTTTTTGGGGGCATTTAGCCCATTTATATTCAGGGTCAATATTGAAAGATATGAATTTAGTGCCATAAAACACTTCACTTTTTAATTTTTTCCAGTTTAGGTAGATTTCTACACAGGATGGTTCTCTTAATGGATAGAGCTATAAAATACAGAGTGTTCTGCTGTAACAAATTCACAAATAGAATAATTTTAGAATAAAAGATCCTTATTTATAAAGATTATCTCATCCACTTATTTAGAAGAACATTTTGCAGATCACTGGATATTCTCTTCAAGGCAACAACAACAAAAATGTGGAGCAGGGTAAAAGGAGATGGTATAAGACAAAGCAGCCCATTTTTGAAAAAGATTTTCAGAATGTTGCTCAGTTTTGTTGCAAGCATTTTGACTTTTCAGGCCAATAGACAAACCTATCCAAAGTAATTATGACCTTATGAAAAGTTATCCTAAAACTAAGGGAAATGATTTGGGACGATTATTTATGTACAGAGCCTGTTCATTGTTGTGCATGATTAGGTAGGCACTTCTCTGGGAAGCCTTCTCTTTAGATGGACTTAGTTACTCTGTTCTCTGCCTTGCTCTCTCTTTCTTCATCTCGCTTTTAGTTTTTGCATGCATTTTGTTTGCTTCTATACCTGCTTTCTACTGAAATGTGAACCCTTGGAAGTCAAAAACTGTGTCTTAATTTGACTTTTTATTCCTAGAGGTTATGATGTGGCACTTAGAAGGCACGCAGTAAATGTTGGTTAATTACAGAACAGTCTTTATTAATGCTTTCAAATAATGATTGAATGACTTTTCCTGCACTTGGTTACATCACTTAATCCAGTGAGCTTAAAACTTGAGCATACAGCAGAATCTCTAGAGGCTAGTTAAAACAGATTGTTGAGCCCAGACTTTGTTAGGAAATGGGTCTCCCTTGTAGCCCCATATTTGCTTTTCTAACAAGTTCCCAGGTGATGCTTCTGCTTTGGGGACCATATTTTGAGAACCACTGACCTAATTCAGTAATTCACCTCCCACCAACTCGCATGAAGGTACTAAATGTAAGAACATTTGTCTTTCAGGAAAGACGTTAGGGGAAAGAGCGATCACTACAGCACCCACGAATGGACATTGTCATCTGTGGTAAGTACATAGAACTTACGCAGTCTTTTAAAATTCTCATATACCTCTATATAAGTTACAATTGATTTTTAAGGTATTATTGACTCATTTTACCTGTCACATTCACTGAAAAATCTATTTAGTAGATAGCACAGTAACTGTTCTTATTCTTATGTATTTTGTAGTATGTACATTTTAAATACATTCACTGAAAATTTCATAAGTGAATCTACCAAGTGCAGCGCCTTTGAACATGATAAATTCTAATTAAATATAATTTAACGTTTTGTTTGGAAACAACTACTGAAGTGATATCATGTTCCTAAATGAAATGTTGGAAGAATGCTTCAAAGAATAAAAGCATGTCACTCATTTCTTATACCTTAGTGAGTCCATGTGTACAAATTCTACAGGTCAAAGAGAAGCCACTTTTAATATAAGAAATATAATATAAGAAAGCTCAAAGGGAATTTAATTTGTGGGGTAGGTGAATATCCTTGGGGAAACGAAATTATTCTTGAATATGTTTTGTTTTGGATCCTTTGTATATTTAAAATTATAAAACACAAATAAGAAGAAATATATTGTTTTAAATTAACACTCTGTGGTTGCATTTTTTTTTAAAGATTTTATTTATCTATTTAAGAGAGAAAAAGAGCATGAGCCAGGTGAGGGGCAGAGGGAGAAGCAGACTCCCCACTGAGCAGGAAGCCCAGTGCGGGGATCATCACAACCTGAGCCAAAAGCAGACACAACCAGCCGAGCCACCCAGGCGCCCCTGTGGTTGCATTTTTACATCTTTTAGTTCCTTACAGCAATACTGCTACTTCAGGTGCTAGGAAGATAACAATAATAAGTTAATTTGTGACCCTTCTCTCAGACCTAGGCTTCCAAAAATCTACCTCTCTTCGGGATTATTTTTATTCTTCTGGAGCACTTTTAGGCAAAAGTCTCTCTCAAAATGGCTCCCTTTCTGCAGGTCCGCATTTGCCCCAAAGGAAATTCATTTTCATTCCACCAGCTCACTCTGAAATGCAAACCATTTTCCCAAAGCAGACCTGTTTCTTTACTCTGCCACCAGCAGGGGGAGCTCCACTCACACGCTCATCTTAAAGCTTCTCTGGTTCGGAGTCCCGTAAGGGACACGGGCCAAAATAATCAAGTCTTTTGATCTGCCCTCACTTGTCTTAAGATGAGGCGCAAACCTCCCTCCTGCCCCGTCCCATGAGAAGGTGGGAGGTAGAACCCACAGTCCCCTAACAATGCTATCCACAGGAATCCTTTACTTTCCCTTCTATAGCCTGGAGAAGGGTGAAGGGCTGAGCCTGGCAGAACCTGTGAATCATTTCCTTAGCATGTCATGTACTGGCAATAGAGCATCTTGCTTTAGGAATGGGAGCACCTAATAAAGTATTGTTCTATGCCTCTGGTACCTCTGCCACAACTCTAGGAAAAAGGCAGTTTTGCAGTTAACATCCTGGTACATATCTTTAAGATCATTTTCCCAGTATGCAAGGGTCTTGGCTATTATTTATATAGCCAAATATACCTTCCCATCTAATTTGCACATTAGTATTAATAAATTAACATATGTATGCATTAAGGTACTTCTGTTCTTCCACTTTTAGTCGTAACTAATGAATTTGTACTGATAAGCCACACGCTCTTCATCTCCTTTGATACTGGAGCTGTTTGGGAGCTGGTTGGCCAGGTTTAGATGCAGAAAGAACCCCCAAGCCCTACTCTTTTTTTTTTTTTAATTAAAACATAGGCTTTATATTTTCATCACAAAGATGGCTGATATTATTAATTTTCAACAGATATCCAGGAAGAACAACAGTTTATTTGCTGTTTCAGTGAGCTATTGTCACAATAATGCTGAATGGTGCATATGGTTTTAAACCACAGTCATCTATCCTTCGGGATGTGCATGGCTTGCACAGCCCTGCTGTACACCTCTCAGCCTCTTTCTGAGATGAACCACCTGGATGGGGCATGTTCTTCTTTTTTTTTTTTTAATTTTTTTATTCTTATATTATCCCCATACTTTGCATCATTAGTTTTAGATGTAGTGTTCCATGATTCATTGTTTGTGCATAACACCCAGTGCTCCATGCAGA